TATATATATATATATATATATATATATATATATATATATATATATATGAATTGGAAGGCAGATAAGTGAAAAAAATAGTGATTTCTGTCATTCTCTGGGAATGTTCCATACATACACCTGTCCAGACATTGTAAGGAAAGTGAAGGGATGTTTAGTTACAGGACACCTAATCTAATCATGCCCAAATATAAGCAAAATATACACAAATCAAAATTAATTTAAAAATCCTTCAAAAGCCATCACTCTGAAAGCAATGTTTATGAGCTGGAGTGTTAGTAGAATGTGTTGTTAGGGGGAGTAGGATTTCAAACAACCTATTATACAGAATAGGCATTAAAATAATTCAGGATATTATAAAGGAAAGGGGCATAAAAATTAATGTTTATACAAGAGGGTGAAGCGCACTGAGGAGACATATAAGAAATAAGATATCTGCATATAATCAACTTGATAGAAAATCATCAGTTTTTGTCTCCTTGGCACTTGAAAAGGAAAAGGCCTTTGATCCTCACATCAGAACTGAAGAAGGAGTGTTTCTTTCAGGCTGTCTGAATAGAGCCTAACTTGAGTGGGTCTTCTGGATGGTTAATCAAATTCAAACACTAAAGTGGGACTTGAGAAACTCAGAGTGAACGTTAAATAATACTAATATTTAACATTTCTTCACACAAAATGGAACAAAACCAAGACAAGGAGGAACATTTATAAAAAAAAATAAAGCCTGGCCGTTAGCTAAGAAAAATAAACATACAAATGTAATTTTGCATTCATACACACTGGACTATACAAAAAACAAACGGAAGACATGGAAAAAGGGGGAAATTATTTTGTGTAGGCTTAGTTTTGTTTCCTTTTTTTTTTCTAATCCCTGACCGGTTCCACTAATCTTTAATTCTTGGACAATCCATCCACTAAAAAGAACTGACCATATTTACAAAAATATATTACGTTATTTTGAGTTTCTACAATAAGATTTTTGTTTACCAAATAAAATAAATAGTATTAGAACTTGTTGGGTCTTTAAATATTTTTTGTATATTAAAGATAAAAGTAACATTTCAGGTTTTATAACTAATTGCATCCTGTCCAATATGAGGAATCAAACACCTAATAAAGTTGCATAACATTTTCTAAAAATTTTTTTATTGTTTATTCATTTTTTGAGAGAGAGAGAGAGAGAGAGAGAGAGAGAGATTGAGCACGAGCAGGGGAAGGGCAGAGAGAGAGGGAATTGGAAGCAGGCTCCAGGCTCTGAGCTGTCAACACAGAGCCTAAGGACAGGGGCGGGGGGGGGGGAGGGTTGGGGAGGGCTCGAATTCACAAACCTCAAGGTCATGACCTAAGCCTAAGTCTTCAGACACTTAACCGATTGAGCCACCCAGGCACACTGAATTGCATAACGTTAACCACATGCCACAAAACTGGATACAAGTTCTGGTTTACCATCTGAGTATCCTGGTCTGTGTTATGTAATGTACATGTTTGCTACTTAAATATTTCCAGTCTTTCTAATTTTTTGTACACCCCAAATTACTTAAATACATACACACATACATACATAAAGGTAGCTTTCTGATTCATTTACAAATGGGCTCTCTCTCCTGTTCTGCCTCAATCTGTTGGTCTCTCTTGCTCCCCAGAAATGTAGTTCTCCATCATAGCCTCGGCATCTGCTTTCTGGACAATCTAGTCTATCCCTGGGGATACGCTAGGGATACCTAGTGTCGTCTTCCCAAAGCCAAATGGCTGAAGTAACCAAATGTGAACTCATTAGATGTATTATATAAAAGCCCAGATGTTGATTAAGATATGAGAAACTGTGTTTCCTAGCTTCAAAATTAAGGAAAATTCAGGTGTTTTCAGTGTTCACATTTCTTACATGTAACAAATGATTTCATTAAGTAAATAAATAAGCACAGCTAAATAAAAGTTTCTTCCACTAAAATAGTGCTCATGAGATACCTTCTCCCACCTGAAAGCCTGTTTTGACTGGCAGAGTCCTTGCATCCCCTGTAGATGTGATCTTAGTAAGCCCAGGACATGGTCACCCCCAGACGGGCACATAATGTCCAAAATGGATCCAAAAATAAGACCCGTCTTATTTTTGAAAATAGAAACCTCTCAGCCTCAGCCTTCACTCCAAGTTGAAAACCCATTGTTTTACTAACCTTAAAATGTGTTCAGGTTTCATTCTTGACAAATTGCACATATGGGTTTTGAGGTCACCATTATTCAAATAGAGCAGTAAGATCTGGATGTGGCTAGTCCTTTATAGACCACAGTTATACCTCCTGTTTTTTGTGTGTGTGGAAATCTAGAAGATCAAAATGAATATTCATCATTCAAACTTTAACTCTGTGGACACAAATCAATATGGGGGAAGTTGTCATAAACCTACATGATCCCTAAATTATTATTCTGTAGGTATATTATGGCTTGTATCTTAATAAAAAAAGGTCAGAATTAATAGTCTCAAAATATACCAGTTCATATATTTAGCATAAAGCATTGTATCCTAATTTACAATTTCTACACATTTTAATGGATCAAAACTACTTTAATTATTTAAACAGTTTCGAATGAACTTAAACTACCCCTTCCTGTATTGTATTGTGTGGGCTTTCTTCAAGGCTAAGTATGAGGTTTTCTTTTCATACTGTAAAAGTGGACTCAACAGACAATTAGCTCTCCGACCTCATCAATTTCAGAAAGAGTGTCACAATGTCAAATATATTTAAACCATAATACTTATTTTGGCAGATGTCATCCAATATTTAATTGGCTTTTTTCCAACCAGTGCATAAAATATATAAAATCTATAAGTTATCTGAGAGTAAATGTATCAAATAATTCATCTTGGGGTTCACCAGGGAGTGATATTACTTAACAACACCTGGAGGCTTAATTCAGTTTCCTTGTATGTGGGTTTGACTGCAATGGGCAATTTCAATCAAAAATTATCAATTGCAGTATTAAAAATTCAATAATATGGGGCGCCTGGGCCGCTCAGTAGGTTATGCATCCGACTGTGGCTCAGGTCATGATCTCACAGTTCCTGGGTTTGAGCCCTGCATCAGGCTCTGTGCTGATAGCTCGGAGCCTGCTTCGAATTCTCTCTCTCTCTCTCTCTCTCTCTCTCTCTCTCTGCCTCTCTCCCACTTACACTCTCTCTGTCCCTCAAAAATAAATAAACATTAAAAAAAAGAAAAATCAATAATGCAAAATTTCAGTGTTTCAATCACCACTTGCAAATTGTTAGAAGCAATCTTGTACTGTATCCTTAGAATGAACTTGTATTCTTTCTCTTAGATTCTTACTCCCTTCTTTCTGTTTAGGAATATGCCCTTCTGTGTAGCTTCATTTTCAAAAGAATGATAGAACTTCCTACTGCAATTGATCAAAAATCTACATTGATCTATCTGAAGCAAGATCTTTAGGTAAAATGTAACATTAATGATCTACCTGTTCCTCAATCTTTACTAATAATAATTTTGGAGAAATTGTACTTATAGACGATTTTCTGACATGGTGTATAGTGAAATATTTACTCAAGTATTTTAAGTTTATTATTAGATTAAACCTACATCATAAAAGAGTTGCTCCTACAGACAATTATTTAGTCCTCAAAGAATGTATGCTATTGAAATTTGATTTGGTATTATTTTATTGAACTAACCTTTAAAAACATCATAATAAATAGCTCAATGATCTCTGTTACATAAATTTTAGCAATTATGTCAGAAACATTTTCAGTATCATTACTCTTCATAGTGTGGTGTGCACATGGATATAGATCCACAAATTTTTGTCATTCGTCTGTTATTAAAGAAGGAAAGGAGGGGCACCTGGGTGGCTGCGTCAGTTAAGTGTCCCACTTCTGCTCAGGTCATGATCTCATGGTTCGTGGGTTTGAGCCCCACGTCAGGGTCTATGCTGACAGCTCAGAGCCTGGAGCCCGTTTTGGATTCGTGTCACCCTGTCTCTCTCTCTCTCCCCCTCCCCCACTCATGCTCTGCCTCTCTTTCAAAAATAAGTAAACATTAAATTTCTTTTTTAAAAAAGAAGGAAAGGAATTCAGAGTATTTACAATTTATTATAAAAATTAAAAATTTAGAAGCTATTTAGACATTACTATTATATTATTTAGAATTATACAATTTAAAATTACATAGAATTATTATAAAGTAATTTTATGTTTATTGTATCTAATAATACAAAACAAGATTTTCATATGTCTGATAACTTTCATTTCATTGTGTTTTGCAAAAAATATTATCTGCAATGATTGGAATTATATAGAAAGAAAGTAATTTACTCTAGATAGCTGTATTTCCTCACTAAAACTCATAGGATCTTCTCAGGAAATTATTCCCCGAAATAAAATGCTCAAATTGCTGTTTGTTTCTTGCTGTCTGTTGCTTATTTGGTTCTATATTACTAGAGACTGAAGGCCTTGTAACTTTTTTTCCCTTTGCCTTCTCCACTAGGATTGCAATAATAATTACTTCCTAGAGCGTTCATGAGTGCCAATGGAATTATGAATAGAAATGGCCTTGCTTAGCGTTCTAGCACAGAAGCTGTACCCAGCTCATCAAGATTATCACTACCTTTTGTGTCGTTAGCTTCCAGAGGGCTTAACAATATTCAGATCCTCATTCAATCACCAACACTGATCCGAACACTGAAGCTCCTAGGAGAGGTAGTGATTCCTGACACGTCATCCTGGTTTACCATTGTTTGGTATAAAGGAAAGCTACAAAGTCAAGATGGTGTCTGCTCAGGTTGTATAAATTCTAGTGAGCATATTAACGGAGACCATGGACCTGCACAGTAGCGGTGGGGACAAGAAGCAGAGAAGAGCATGTCTTTGTGTCTTCATCCTCTAATATTTCTTGCTCTTATTCTGACCGTGTTACATGCATACTTTATCTTGAGTTCAGCTTTCAGTGCACAGCCCTGAAGAGAACAAGAGAGAAAGTTGCTAATTTTAAATCACTGAAATTATTCCAGCTAAAAAAAATATGTTGTTTCAGGAAAAGAAATTTGCTCAAGCTTCCCCCCTTCCCCCGGCCTTTTTCTCTTGAATGCATTTATGTTCCAACTAGTGTTTTTCCATTTAATTCTTCTGGATGAACCTCAAGTAAGTACATTGTTCCTATGTTCTTTTTGGTATTAAAAATCTGTATAAATCATTTTACGTTCATATCTGGTGTGAGAGCTGATAGAAAAACATGAGGCAAAGAAGATGAATAGTCGGGAAAATATCAGGTATTCTGAGAATTTGCTTTCCTGTGGTTCTCAAACCTATTCCTTGAGTTCTCTCCTATATAGAGAGAAATAGGGTTCTCTCCTATTTCTTGAGTTATGGAATTTATATTGAAAATGGGGTTCAGGTCATGAGAAAAACTTGTGCACATGCAAATTGCTCGGATATTAAGCATCTCCGAAACTGTATTTAATTGTGGTAAGGGAAAGCCTCATGATAATATAGAATCCTAAAATTCAGATCCAGAGGCTGTGCTAAGAATATGAAGGCAAAAGTAAAATGAAACCTGTTCAAGTTTCTTGGGTACACTTAATAGCAGTTAGAGCAATCCCTTTGTGGTATTCATTTGTTTGTTTTGTTTTGTTTTGTGTTAGCTAAAACTCACTTTAGGATGTCTTGAATATTTTCCTTTCTGTTTTAAGTAATTTTTCAGAGTCACAAATGATAAATTATCATTTCTGATAATTTGACGGTGGATTGATTTCAGCCTAAGATTTTTGGGGGTGAATATTTCTGTTTGACATTGCATTCTGCTCTTTTCATTTACTGTATAGTTTATGCCTTTATTATGTGGGGCAGAATCACTCTAAGTGATTCCCAGTGACAATCACAATGACCCACACAATTGGTAATCTCCTGCAATTTAATATGGGCAGCCCTGTGACTTATTTTTAATTAATACCATATAGCAATGGTGATTGAATTTTTCAATTTAAATTATGTCTTAGCTAAAAACGAGACACTCTGTGGCTGGCTTTGAAGAAGCATACAGCCAGTCATGAGATTTTCCTATGGAGCGGGCCCCATGGCAAGGAACTGTGGGCAGCCTCCGGCCAATAGCCACTACTCTCCTGGGCCCTCAGTCCTGCAGCCACAGAAAAATAAATTTGAGAGAGGTGACTGAGCCCCAGAAAATATCCTAACCCTAGTCATCATCTTGATTCCAGTCTGGGAGACCCTGAGTAGAGGATCCAGCTGACCTATAGACAGACTTTTGACCCAGCAGGATTGTGAGGTAAATGAATATCATGTTAAGACATTAACTGTGGTCTTTTGTCATGCAGCGACAGAAAAGTAGTAAGCCATATAATTAAAGAAAATCTCCTTTATTTTCCTGAGATTTTAATATCTACTAATTTGCATAACATTGTTTTCCATGTTGGGCATTAGTTTGGTTTCTAATATTTTCCATAATGAATATTACTCTTTTATGTATTACAGATTATAGTTACAGGATAGAATCTCAGAAGTATAGTTATTTAGTTGTACCACATTAACAATAATTTAGTGACATGTATTAATGATTGCTTTCCCCCATAGTTTTTCCAATTAAGAGTTTCAAGATATCAAAAAGCCCTAACATATGTTAAGGCATATACATATATGTATAGATGCACATGTATCTTATAATTTTGATTATTGTGTTCATGTATGTGGAATAACTATTTCTATCAATTACTTTATTTTAGTAGAATTTATTTAGTAGACTTTTGTAATATTTTGGTTTGAATTTTTGTTGTTTTGTTGTCTACACAACAAATATATATTATATATATATGTATATATATTTATATACATTGTTATTTCTGAATGGAATTCTTTTCAAATATTTTAACAGTCTCCTGAAAAAAAAACTTGTAAAATTAATAACTAATTTTTAAAATTCATTTTTTTTAAGTTTATTTATTTATTTTCAGAGAGAGATAGAAATGGGGAGGGACAGCGAGGAATGGGGAGAGAATCCCGAACAGGCTCCATGCTGTGGAGAGTGCAGAGTGCAGAGCCTGATGTGAATCTCAGTCTCATGAACCATGAGATCATGACCTGAGCTGAGATTCAGAGTCAGACGCTTCACTGAGACTCCCAAGCACCTCTAAAAGCCATTTTGATGTAACATTTTTTTCTGGAAGAAAGGGCAAAGGAGGGAGCATTCTTTCGCCTCTATTTCCCTCATCCTTTTCTCTCTACTTTACTGTAGACCTATTTCATTCTTTAATGTGTGTATGTAATACCCATTCTACACAACACATTAAAATAAGCTGGGGCACCTGGGTGGCCCAGTCAGTTAAGCATCTGACTCTCGATTTAGGCTCAGGTCATGATTGCATAGTTTGTGAGTTCGAGCCCCACTTCGGGCTCTGTGCTGACAGTGAGCGTCCTGCTTCTGATTCTCTCTCTCCCTCTCTCTCTGCCTCCTTCCTGGTCTTGCATGTGTGTACTTTCTCAAAAAAAAAATTAAATAAAAAATTTTAAAAAATAAAATAAAATAAATTGAATTTACTTAGTAAACATGTGTAACTGTTTCTACAAAAGTCATCCTAGGACTTCTATATTGATAAGTTCCAAATTCCCATTTATCTTTTGCATAGATTAAAAAAATATCTACCTGGGAATCAGAGGCCTAATTATGCCTTCCATCCATTTGTCTTTGGCATTTTGAATCCTGCTGGTTTATGCTCAAAGCCCGTGAGCTTTCTTAATTATTTAAAATCCACAGCCACAATGTGTTGTTTCTATTTTCAGCAATAATCCTCATGAGGTCCTTGGGAACGATCCACAACAATAACGATGATGTCAGTAAGATAGTACATTTTTTCCAACTATTTTTTATTGTGGTAAAACATGCATAACTTAACATGTATAATTGTAACCATTTTTTTTAAACGTACAGTTCAGCGGTATTAAGTACATTCATATTGTTGTGCAACCATCACCACCATCCACCCTCTGAAACTCTTCATCTTCCCAAATCGAAAGTCTATCCATTAAACAATACTTTCCATTGCTCCCTCCCCCAGGCCCTGGCACCCACCATCCTACTGGATCTATTCAATCTATTTCTGTCTCTATGGATATGATCACACTAGGTGCCTCAAATAAGTAGAACTATACAGAATTTGTGTTTTGGAAACTGACTTATTTCACTTAGCATAATGTTCTCCAGGTTGGTCCGTGCTGTGGCATGTGAAAGGATCTTTTCTCCTTCTTTTTCTCCTTCTCCTTCTTCTTCTTCTTCTCCTTCTCCTTCTTCTTCTTCTTTCTTCTTCTTCTTCTGTGTATTTGTTTTTGAGTGACAGAGACAGAACATGAAAGGGGGAGGGGTGGAGACAGAGGGAGACCCAGAATCCTAAGCAGGCTCCAGGCTCCGAGCTGTCAGCACAGAGCCTGACTCCGGGCTCAAACTCACAAACTGCAAGATCATGACCTGAGCTGAAGTGGGACCTTTAATTGACTTAGCCACCCAGGCTCCCAGGATCTTCTCTCTTCTTAATGTTGAAAAATATTCCATTGTGTGTATATACCACATTTTGGTTATCCATTCATCTTTCATTGGACACTTGGGCTGTTTCCAACTTTTAGTTAGTGTGAATAATACTGCTATGAACGTGGGTGTGCAGATACCACTCTGAGACCCTTTTTTTAATCTCTTTTGGGTATATACTCAGAAGTGGAATTATTGGATCACATGGTAATTCTACTTTTAATATTTTCCATGTTTTCCATGACAGTTGTGCCATTTTCCATTCCCATCAACAATACATAAGTTCTCCAGCTTTTGCCAACTTTTTCTTTTTTTTAGTAGGCCTCCTAATGGATGTGAGACATCGAGCAAATAATTTCAAAAAAGCGATATTGACAAATATTTTCTCATTTGCTCATTTTAAAATACCTACACTGTTCGGTCTGTGTTCTTCTTATTCCCCATCTAAAAATTGGTAGAATTCATCTCTCTTAACTAGAAGCTCATGGATCCAGTTCTGCTCCCCAAGCTTTCTAACCTGAAATCATATATTCTCTCCACGATGATATTTTGCTATGCCTCCAACTTCTACGTGTCACATAAAGGTGTACAGGGCGTCAACTATTTACTTAAGTGGCAGTGTTTTCACTGTAATTCTAACTAATAACAAAGGCGTCAGCTTCCACAAAGGCAGAGAAATTCCTGATTGAATAGCATACACCACTTTTTATGTTTCTCTCCACATTTTGAATGCGGCTCGCCGGTTCTTTTCAACGGCTTTTCAGAGAAACATAGCAGGAAGCAAAAACCACATCTTCAGTGCTCTGAGTAATAGCTTGACACACTGCTCAAAAAGAACCCCAGCTGTGCTGTTTCATAAGTCATATGTTTGAAAGCTTCTGCTGATTTTTCTACATGTGGGGAACGGTTTTGCCTTATTTGCCTCTCCAGCTTGCATGATTTCAAACATTCTGCTCAAAGAAAATTTCAAGCACGAAGCCCTTTTCAGAAATCCGGGCACTCCAGCTCCGGAGAGAAAGGAATGACATTTGCACCAAGCATTTTCCTTGGATGAGTTTGCCTTTCATGACAGAATGTGTACAACCCTTTTGTTCTTTGCTGGTTCTAGCGACTTCCGATCATTCAGCTCTGTGGGCTCTCAGGCATAGCCCAGGGAATGATTGGAACTACTATCACAAGCATGAGTGTGTGGCACGGCACACTCACGTGGCTGCCTCAGAAGCCAAGGGACAGTGGTATATGGCGGAGGTTAACCCTCAGCGATCCATGGGAGACAAAGACCTACGATTTCAAAAGGAAGCTTTGTCTTCTGACATTTACACATTCTGCGGTTGCGTAAACCTTCAACGGTCTGTCCACTGATTTGTACAAATCAAACTACAGAACGGGCATTGTCTTATTAGGAAAAAAAGAAAAGCTTTTAGCTTTTGTAGTTTTCCATTTTATTCAATCGAATGGGATATTAGCAGATACACTGTGCGGTACAAGAAGACTATGTCTGCCATGTTTTCTTGCTTTCTGTCTTTGCTTTAAGCTCACCATGTGCCTTATTTCTTACCAGATTGAGCAGCGGAATTCATTTCATATTAAGTCTATTTTTCCAAGGAAATATCAGAGTTTATTTATGGTTTCATAATAGAATATTTAATCAATATAAGAGAAAATGTACAGTTTGAAGTAGAAAGTTAGTGTTGAAGGAAGCCAAATGTGATGGTACACATTTAAACCCACTTAGACCCTTAGATTGTTCATCAGTAAAAATGACTGTCATTTAGAAATTCTGAAAAACATATGATAGTGTACTTATCAAAAATTATTCTTTGGGCACCTGGGTGGCTCAGCTGGTTGGACATCCAACTCTCGGTTTCAGCTCAGGTCATGACCTCACAGTTTCGTGAGTTCGAGCCCCATGTTGGGCTCTGTGCTGACAGCGTAGAGTCTACTTGGGATTCTCTCTCCCCCCCACCCCCTCTCTTTCTGCCCTTCCCCCACTCACACTGTTTGTCTCTCTCAAAATAAATGAATAAACTTAAAAAAATTATTCTTGAAATATATTCATTTCAATAAATATAGTAAGGTATGTAATATCTTAAAAGTATATTTTAAAAGACAAAATATATACAAATATATTCAATTATTATTTTGAAGCCTACTATAGGAAGATAAGAAACAAGTATAGAATCCAGAAGGCAGCTTCTTATTCTTCTCTTTAGTGTCATGTGCCCTTACCCTCATGGACTTTTGTTTTGCCATAAGATGAAGTTGAACTATGGATCTCACCTTGTATCCATTAATGTAGATTTTTCATCTTTTTCCAATGCCAACATTATATTGAAGAAATATTTACAGTCTGCCCCAATGTTTTTCCTCTCCCTGAGACACTGCCCTTTGCCATGGCTTGCTGAATGTATCTGATGTCTCAGTCATGCCACGTGCAAAGAAGAACTCTGGTCTGAATATGACACTCCCTTCCCCAGCAGCCACTTTCCCAATGCTGTGCCCAATTCCTTGTGTTCTTAATCACAACCAGGAAGTCATTCTTGACTCGTCACATTCTTTCACCTTGTAAATCTCTAACTGGTAGGAAATGTGGTCATTTCTTTCCTCAAACTACATCCAGCTACTCCACCTGGTCTGTGACCCTGGTCCCTTCTGTGATCAGGGCCATCACTATGTCACCTGGAGTTCTGCCTTACCCTCTTAACGGGTCTCCACTCTCTATACCACACACAGAGCATTCTCAGCACAGCCATAAGTGTGATCCTGTTAAAACCTAAATATTCACCATGCCATTCATTTTTTTAAGACACTGTAATGGCATAACATTTAACTCAGAATAGATGCCAAATCCTTACAATGGCTTAAGAAGCCCCATGACACCTGGATATGTATCACCTTCTGTTATCCTGTGCTGCTCTTCTGATACCTCAGGTCTCCTGGGCCACAGTTCCTTCCTTGCTGTCCCTGGAAAGTGCCAGTCATGCCTCTGGGGTCATTCCACTGGCAAAACCCTGTCCCCAGATGTCATTACAGCCTGCTCCTTCATCTTCCCCAAGTTTTTGATCCGATGTCATCTTCTCTATAAAGCCTACTATAACCACTTCATTTAAAATTTCAGTAGTACTTCTCCTGCTTCTTTCTTGCCCTATACTTCTATTTTCCAATTCCATGGCATTTGTGTCCTTTAAATATACTATCTAGTTTAATGTATCTATGTATTTATGTACATTCTGTACACCATATTCTGTATCTATGTATTTATTAATTCTGTACATATTCTGTATTCTGTACATATTCTTTCGCTGCTAGAATGTAAACCACAAGAGCAGATGTCATCTTGTGCCGTAGCCCCTAGAAGGACGTGTACAAAGTAGGAGCTCTATCAACAATTCTTTAACGAACATAGCCTTTTCCACAGTAGTGCTAAGCAACGAGGATAAAAACATAAAGGCGGCAAACTTACTGATAACCGTTCACTGTTTTGAATAGTATTTTGGGGGGAAAACTCATTTTCCAGACCATTCATATTATGGGTAACCTCTTAACTATCTCTCAAGAGCAAAGGATTAGGTAAAAAAAAAATCTGTGACCCATTGTTTGTAAATGTTAGAGCAATTCACATTTATAAAACCAAGCTCCTCTGAAGAAAGAGTGAACCGATATAAAATACATGGTGCTTGGAAAAACTCTCCATACCAACAGTAATTTCCATCCATCCACAGACACAAGTACCTACGTGGGAGATTTGGGATCCAAGTGGGAGATCATGAAATCCTTGTACATTCCAATACCAAGGAGAGACATCTTGAAAAGGAAGGCTCACACACGGGTAGCAGACTCACAAACCATGGTCTTGGCTGTAGACCTAGAAACAGCTCCATACCCTTGAAGAATTGGCTACAGCCTACAGCACAATATAACCAGAAACCCAAGAAGAGTCATGCTCACCTGTACAGGAGGTAACGATATATAGACCTCTTCAGCTGTGGACTCTAATGTGACCCATGAACCAGCCCTACCTACCCTCAGCCATGGTCCAGGGGCCCTGGAGGTTAAGTTTTACAGACTCAGTCAGACTCTAGATGCTGAAAGGGATCTGTGACTGAGCTCTAGCCCTTCCCAGGCAGTCTGCAAACAGTACTGCCAGAACAGGAAACCAGTGGGAGAAACTCACACCTGCAAACCCAGAAACCCTGAAAGGGACCCACATGTGGCTCCAGTGCCTACCAGTCATTGTCCACAAGCTGCCTTGCTGGACAAGCGGCCAGGCAGGAGAAACTTTAATCTGTGTCCCCAGAGATCCTGAAAAGTCTCTATTTATGGCTTTAACTCCCTCACAGCTAGTCTACCCTCAGTTCTTAGGGTCTAGGGTCCCAGTGGGAGACACTCCCATCTGTAACCCTGGAGGTTCTGAAAGGGTCTTATAGTCCCTCCCAACTGCAGTATGCTTAACACTCCTGCTAGCACAAAGATTCAGCAGGAGACACTTCTTGTTGCACCCTTGGAGATGCTGAACATTCCTGTACTTGGGCACAACCTCATCACAGCTGCAGTTGGACATAAGACTTGCTAGCCCAAGGATCCAGTAAGATACCTTCCAATATATCCTCCCGGAGACCTTGAAAAGGCCCTAGTCTCACCTCCAGCCCCTCTCACTCACTGTCCATTAGCAATACTGCTGGCCCAGGGGACCTGTCAGAGACATTGATATCTGTGCCCCTGGAGACCCTGAAAGGATATAGATAGCCCTCGCACCTCCAATTGCTAACAAGATCAATCTAGCTGGCTCAGGAACCTGATTGGAGACACCCCCATCCATGCCTTCAGAGCCAAGTTTACAGACCTCAGTCTTGGCCATGCCATCTGAAACAATGCTGGGGCACAGTTCCATTCTCTCTTAGCCACAGTTAAGGCTCAGTCTTATTGATTCAGAAATCCACCCAATGATCAGGCAGCAGCCCACCTAGGGACCTGGTGGGAACCACACCTTCTATGAATCAGGTAATAGACCCACTGATTCATAGGGCCTGATGACCCAAATGTGACCTTGAAGTAAACTCTTGTCCCAGCTCCACCCTACTGAACAAGATGCTGGAAGCAGTCCTATCCAACCAGGGACCAGACAGGACCCATGCCCCACCCAAGCTGATGATAGTAAATCAATCAATCATGGACCCTACTGCAGACCTACTGACAGCCTTGTAATAGGCTCCAAACCAGCATGAGTGCAACTCAAGAAGTGATCTGATCAGACTGTGGAACAAATAGGAAAGTCTTCACCTACTGGCAGTGGTCTGTAAAGACCAGAAGAGGTGTTTGTCCTTTGAAATGCACAGACTGCAGTATTACATACATCATGAAAAATTAGACAAATATGATGCCATAAGAAGAAACTAATAAGGTCCAGTAACAGACCACAAAAGATTGGATATCTACAATTTCCTTGACCTACCCCCCTAAAAAAAATAAAAATAAACACCTTACAGAAAGCCAATGAAACATAAGAGGACACAAATAGACAACTACATGAAATAAGATTTAAAAAATGCAGGAACAAAATGAGAAGTTCAAAAAATAAATAGAAAATGTGAAAAAAAAACAGAAACCATGGATGTGAATAGTATAATCACAGAATCAAAAAATTCAATACATAGCTTTAATAACAGTCTTTATCATGCAGAAGAAAGTCATTGAACTCACAATATTATATTGTATTATTTGAAATTAGCATGTTAGAGAAACAAAAATTAAAACAAAATAATGAAAAGGAGTGAAGACAGCTTGTACAAATTATGGGAGACCAAGATAACGAACATTCACATTATATGATTGATTCCCAGTGGAAGAGAGAGAAAAAGGGGCAGAAAGCTTATTTAAATAAATAATAGCTTACTTCCTGATACAGAAAGCTTGAAGAACCCCAAGCAAGATCAACCCAAGAAGATTATTCTGAGACATATTAGAATCAAAATTTTAAATGCCAAAGACAAGAAGAGAATTTTGAAAGCAGCAAGAGAAAATGACTCATCACACAAAAGGGAATCTCCATAAGGTGATTTGTGAATTTTTCAACATATATCTTGCAGGCTTGGAAAGAGTGAATGGTATATTCAAAGTCCTGAAAGAAAAAAAACAAAAAACAAAAACAGCCAACCAAAAACTCTATACCTGGCAAACTATCCGTCAGAAATGAAGGGGAAATAAGGACATTCTCAGACACACAGAAGCTAAGAGAGTTCATACTAGACCTTCTTTATAAGAAATGCTAAAGGGAGTTTTTCAATTTGCAAGAAAAGGATACTAAGTAACAAAAAAAATATAAAACTCACTCGTAAGGGTAAATATATAGTCAAATTCAGAATATTCTAATATTGTAATATTGGTGTACAGATCACATTTACCTCTAGTATATAAAAGTAAAAAAAAAACAGTAATAATAATTAATATCAGCAGTCCTAAAAGAAGAAATAGTCGATACAGTAATATAGAGGACTTTAATTCCCTGCTCTTGACATTGGATGGAATATCCACACAGAAAATTATAGTGAACAATGCTATAGACCAAATGGACCTAACACACATATACAGAACATTCCATCCAACGGCACCAAAATATGCATTTCTCTGACATCCATAAGGATGTTTCCAGGTTAGATTATCTGATGGGCCACAAAGCAAGCTTGAACATATTAAAGAAATAATATCTGTAGCTTTTTCTACCAAGTTGTATGAAACTGGAAATCGCTAACAGAAATAAAACTGAAAAATGTCCAAATAGTTGAAAATTGAACAACAGGCTCTTGAACAACCAATGAGTCACTGAGTCAAAGATGAAATCAAAACAGATATCAGAAAGTATATTGAGACAGACAAAAGTGAAAACACAGATACGTAAACTTGTGAGGTGCAGCAAACACCAATTCTAAGAGGCAAGTTTACAACAATAGATGCCTCCAGTGAGAAAAAACAAAAGGGTCTCAGCAAAACAACTTAACTTCACACCTCTAGGAATTAGAAAAGGAAGAACAAACAGCTCACAGTTGAAGACAAAAAGGAAGAATAAAGATTAAAGCAGAAATAAAGACTCGAAAGACAATTGAACATATCAATTAAACTAAGTTGTTTTCTTGAAAAGAGAGAAAGAGAGAGGACTCAACCAAAATTATAAGTGAGAGGAACCATTATAGTAAGAGCACTAAAATACAAAGGAAGGTAAGAGACTGCTATAAACAATTATGCACTCAGAAAACAAATTGGGTAACCTGGGAGATATGAGTAAATTCCTACAAACATCTAACCTACTAATATTGAATGACTGAACAGATGGGTGACAATAAAGAGATTGAGATAGTAATAAAAACTCTCAGCAAGAGAAGACCAGGCCTAGATGGTTTCTACCAGAATTTTACAAAGTAGTTAAAGAGTTAATGCCAGTCCTTCTCAAACTCTTTTAAGAAGTGGAAGAGGAAAGACTTTCAAAATATTTTTTGAAGTCACTCTTACTCTGATACCAAAGCCAGATAAGAACACTAAAGGAAAAGAAAATCACAGGCAAATATCTTTGCTAAATGTATTAATTTTTTTTTTCAACAAAATTCTAGCAACTCAAATTCATAAGTACATTTAGGGGGTTTTACACCATGATCATGTGGAATTTTACCAGGGTTGCAAGGATGGTTCAATATATGCAAATAAATGTGATATACCACATTAAGATAATGAATAAAAATTATATAACCCTTTCAATACATGCAAAAAAATAATTTGCCAAAATTCAATGCCGTTTCATGATAAAAACTCTTGACACATTGGTTATAGAAGGGGCATACTTTAATATAATAAAGGTAGTATATGACAAACTTACAGCTGACATCACTCTCAACTGTGAAAAGCTGAAATTCTTTTCTCTAAATAATAGTATATATAATATTAATAATAATAATATCTTTCATGTTATTTATATTAATGATAATATATTAATAATAATATTAATAATATCTCTCATGACGTTTAGATACATAGATATAAAATTCATATATATATATATATACTTCATAAATATATAATTCAACTTTGAGAAGAAGAGGCAAATCTTATCATCTGTGACAACATGGAGAATCCTTGAAGGCATTACGCTAAGTGAAATAACACACAGAGAAAGACAAACGCTGTATGATTTTACTGATGTATAGAATCTAACAATATATAATCTTAAAGTCATAGAATCATAGAGTATAATTGTGGTTGGCAAGGGCAAGGGTGGGGTGAGAAAGGGGAGATGCTATTCAAATGGTAGAAACTTCTGATTGTAAGATGAATAAGTCCTGGGGAACTAGCACTCAGCACAGTGATTATAGTTAACAACACTATTACATACCTGAAAGTTGCTGAGAGAGTACATTTTAAATGCTTTTAGCACACATACAAAAAATGTCAAATGATGAATGAGTTAACTAAGTTTATTGGGGCAATCATTTAGCAATATATACATACATTGGGGTGCCCGGGTGGTTCAGTTTGTTGAGTGTCTGACTCTTGATTTTGGTTCAGGTCATGATCTCATAGTCATGAGATCAAGCCCCACATCAGACTCTGTGCCAAGCATGGAGCCTGCTTGAGATTCTCTCTCTCCCGCTCCCTCAGCCTCAAATATAAGCCCAAATATAAACATGATTTATATTTCAATTATATCTCAATAAATCTGGGGGGAAAAAAGAATTCTTCATGAGAGATATATTTGTCCTGGACTTTAAAATACCCCTGTAGCATATAAAGTTCATTCACATTTTTTTTTGAGCAGTCATAATTAAAGATGCTGCATTTGGCAGGGACAAGAAAATAACAAACAAGAAAGGAAAGGTCTGTTTATCATGACTATTATATCCCAACATCAGTAACAAACATAAAGTACGAATTCCCAAATGAATTTGAAGATAATATTTGTGGCTAGTGTTACAACAAATGTTGTTAGAAAAGACAGTGAGGTTTTCTCCCATGCCTGGTCAAAAGGGTATAGGAAAGGGTCTTAAAAGAAACCATTGAAATGAGACTTAAAGA